ACCTACCTTGACTCATACACCTGCTACAACTCTGATAGGAGACTGACACAGACCAGAGACCAAGGCAGAAAAGATGCAGAAGAATGCTCAGAGCACTCAGAGTAGGGGCAGGGGGACACTTTTAGAATAAGAGACTGAAACAGACTAGACTAAGATGGATGCTAGACAGAGAAATATTACTCGATAACTCGCCTTACAAACCGTAGCACTCTAGAACCGACCAGCGATGAAAAAGAGGCACGACACGTGCAGTTAAACCTCACCTGTGCCTCGCAACGAGTCTTCTGCTGACAGGTACCAGGCTTCGTGAGGAACATGCCCCTGCGCACGTCGTCGCGTTTGATGCCTCTGATCAGCGCTCCCATCTGGTCACCGGCTTCGGCACGATCCAAGATCTGGTGAAACATCTCGATACCTGAAAGTGCATCGTTACGAATGTCGCCAGAGTAAAGTGAAGCAACACAAACACATTTATTAATATTAATAATTAAAATTAAAATTAAAATTATAATAATTTCACTGAAAAGACCGTGCTTGACAGAAGCCCACAGACACAACATTTGAATCGATTTTATGAGATGAGAGATTGCAGACGAGAGAGCTAAACTGCAAAATCTAAGAAGAAAAAAGCAACGGTACCGGTAACCGTGGTTTTGACCGCTTTTCCGTATCCGATTATTTCTGCATCCTCTCCCTTTGTGACGACTCCTCTCTCCAGGCGGCCGGTGACAACCGTACCACGCCCTGCAACGCAAACGCACGGGATGAGAAACTCTTTACTCAACCTGAGAACCGCTATGCAACGCCGTCATGCACTAATCTCTTCCCTCACCAAAGCGAAGCTCGTGCTACAAATGCAATCTATTCTTCCTCACTAAAGTAAAGCCGCTGCTACGAATGTTATCTATTCATCTATCTGCATTACCGCACCCCGTTCACACTGCACTCACCCTGAATCGAGTAGCTTCCCTCTATAGCTTGTACTACGCGTGCCATCTATTCGTCTATATATCCACATTACCGCACCCTGTTCACACTGCACTCACCCTGTTCACACTGCACTCACCCTGTTCACACTGCACTCACCCTGTTCACACTGCACTTACCCTGTTCACACTGCACTTACCCTGTTCACTCTGCACTTACCATGTTCACTCTGCACTTACCCTGTTCACACTGCACGCACCCTGTTCACACTGCACTCA